AGTGTTTGAGGAGGATATCATGTCTGCATCTTGTACTATGAATAATCTCTAAGAGAACAACAATATGCAATGTATTAATTTTTGAAACTGTCTTGCTAATTGGTTTTGAAACTGTCTCATCTTTATCTGTTTCTCAATAAAATCATTTTTTAAAATGAAAAAATTGTGTTTTATTAATAAGTAATTGGAGAGCACTTTTATGCTCCTCTTTGTGAAAAAACAGGATGATAAAAGGGATATAATGGTTAAAGCAAATGGAAAAATACAAACTCTCCTATTCAGAATAGAAATCAGATTGACCTTTTAGTAGAAACCAGCCTAAACATTTAGTGACAAACATGTGTTTATTTGCATCAAATTAATTGACTGAGCATCATAAAATGACCAAGAGGATTATTAAATCAATAAACAAGGTAAAATACAAGTCACATAAATGGATGACTGAGTTAATACATTACTTAGACCAGTTACTTCCAGTTGAATCTGGCTCAAAGAGTAGAAAGAAGAGTTCCAACATTCATTTTTCTCCAAAGATACCAGTAAGAGTGAATATTGCTTGCTGACCAATATCTCACAGAAAGTAGGTTAGCTCTACCAAATAGTATCTTAAATGTTATATAAGCTCAATGGTGTAAAAATTTTTTTTAAAAAATTGGCCAGGGAGATAGCTCAGTAGACTAAGTACTTGCCTGGAAAGCACAAGGTCCTGAGTTCAATCCCCGGTACCGAAAAACACTAAATAGAGAATATGAGCTGCTTCTCATGGCATGCCAGTTGCTGTTGTGCTGTGTCTCGGGTAGATGACAGTTCAAAAAGAAGGGGGTGGTGAATGAAAGCAAGAGACCGGAAAAGGAATGTTGTGGGACTGTCGTGCTTCAAGGTTGTTTATGGTTAGGTTTTTGGACTTACACATAAACATAAGAATCATACAATTCTTTATGAATATTTTTAAAATATATTCTAATTTCTAAATATTTTTTCATCACATTATGTAGGGACTTAAAGTTCAACATATCAATACTTGATGAAAAATACCTGTTTCATGTTATGCCTAAGATGTTTGATATTCAGACAGATAGTAAGTTTAAGCTTAACAGCCTAGGTTGTATGGTAATAACAATAAGCTTCTTTTCTGGAGGGTTAACAATCTAGGATTACAGAGCAAAAGTAGAGAAAAAGGAGGGCTGCAAGGAAAGCCAATTTTTTCACCCTAGCCTTCCAAGGTCAATTAAGACTCAGGATATATGAGAACTTGTACTGTAAGGTCATGTAACTCGGTAGTGTCCCAAATTTTCTGATCAAGGAGATTATGGGGCCAAAGAGGAAAGTGATCAATGATGTAGAGTGTGCCTAAGGAGAGTCA